ATATATATACCACGTACCCATGTGTACAGCTGGATGGAAGCCACATGATTTTTTCATATGTCTGTGTATAAATAATATATCAGTACAGCAAATTTGATATACACGTAAAACAACAGGAATGGCCCGAATAACATTCGTCTTGAACTACAAGGTACAGTCATGGACACAGCACATATCAAACCATTGAAACAATGTGATCGTGGTTGTTACCAATCACTGTCACAGTTTCAAAGCTCACAGGCGTTCGTACTGGAGGAAGTCGCGGAGTTTATCAGAGGAATTATCGCGCCCCCCGCCCCATCTTTTTTTTTGAAAAAAAAATTCAACATTACATTCCCCATAAGAGTGGCAGCTGTAGACCGACTGTACATCACCAGCTGGGAGTATCTCCACTGCCCCCACCCCCACCCCACAAACCCTCCACCCACCCATTTTTTGATGAACATGCAAGGGTCTGTGTCCAAGCATGAACTCTTTTGTACCACAAATTTTTAGGAGAATCATTTTCAGTCCCCCTGAATTTGTTCATCAAACTTGCACCGACAGTAAGTTGACAACTCGCCAAAGGGGTTGATCTCTCTGTGATTTACAGCTGTATTATAACCTGCTCTTGACATGACACAGGACTGTTAAAATAAATCCAGGCAGATCAGTTTTGCACCGGTTTGTCTCATATCTAATAATATGAACATGGAAACACAGTCCAGAGTTTGAGCTGAAAGTGGCGCGAACATCAAAAACAGCAGATGTCTATAAAAGCTTTAAAAATTGCAACTTGTTCGATGGAGTCAAAGGCCTTTTCATTGTCAATAAAAACCAACGTACTTATATCAGGAGGGTATAAAGTAAATATAAACAACTCATGTGCTTTTCTTGATACTATTACTAGATCTATGTGTGACAAGTTACTAAGAAAAGTTGTTGCCCACGGCTCTATGTGCACTCGATAATAGTGTATGGTGAAATAATTACTTGACAGAATAAACTTAAGGGTGTGTGTGTGTTGGGGGCAGACCCTGGAAATCCTGATTCATGGTCAAAATTATGGATTTTGAAATGAAAGAATTTTGGCTTCTTCAGCCTCTCTTGAAACTATTTCATTGCAAAATAAAATACAACAACAATCTAAAGCCTTATTCCGTCACACATCGGGCATGTTAGTCGCCACCACATCCTCATACTCATATATTCTTTATCGCTCGTTTCCTCAAAACTCAGTTTTTCTGTAAACTTTTTTGCATAACTCCACCATTTTTCACCCAATCTTCATGAAATTTTCCCAGAATGAAGAATAGACGTCACACTAAAAATAGTCTGTTGAATTTTCAATACATAGAATATATTTTTTTGGTAGTGTCAGGAGTGTGGACTTTCACTGACTTGAGGCAACCTTGAATGATTTTCTAATTCGTTTAGGAAAAAATTCATCGTAAGCCTACCATTTTTTAGAACCATATTGTTTGTTAACTTATATGCAAAATAATCACCTATTTCCATTGAAAATAATTTAGGTTTTAACTGTATAAGACACGTCAAGAAAATCCAATCCGGCCACTGCTCCACGGCAACGAAACTTTTTCTGAAATTTGATGGCAGTTTTGAAGACTTTTCACTATGCTTGTTTTATGTGTGAAATTTAGTAAAATTTGATCAACAAATAAATGAGATAGCCCTCGGGTGTTGCC